TGATTACCCAAAAATCTTAGTCAAATAGATTTAAAAGCATTCTATTTTTTCTGTAATAATCAGTGTGAAAGCCAAAATCCTTGCTTAAGATCCTCGCTTAAGATCCTCAATGGGACGTGCCATTTTGTATCCCCCCCCACCTCTTATGAGTCACTGTTTAGCACCTCTACACTTCATTTCAAACTCAAAAAGTTGAAGACCCCATACATTTATTGTGGCTGCTTTATCATGGAATTCAGGTGTCCCTCTCTCCCATGCCCCCCACAGGTTAGTGGGTGGAGACATATGACATTTCAGACTATGCTGCACTCCCACATTCGATGTCAGAATTTATTATGTAAATCGCGTGACTAAGGGACTGCATGTGCAGTTTTTTAAGTTAGATATTAAGTGGGTCAAGTATGAAAAATACAGGTGTATCAGATTTTGTCACCAACTTTATCACCCTTGTTAAAAGTATAATTGGATAATATTAATGAAAATTGTTAGAATCTTATTTACATACATATCTTGTCCTTATTTGCTTACTGCAGTTATGCTGTTATATTTTATGACAATCGCATAAAGGAGGACATGTTACCTGACCTGACAAAGGTTTGTAGAAGTCCAGTGTTTGCAATTCCATTTCCTTGTTGGAAGGTGCATGAACTGAAAAGGGTTGCTTTTGTAAGTGGTCATTTGTAGTGCAATTTACATTGTAATTTATTTCTGGAAGTAAAAGTGTGTGATAAGCCTCTAAAAATAGAAGCAGACTGTACTAGTACCGTGTTAGGAGGTGAAGAGTGACTGGTTTGTACTAGTAATGTCTCATATTGCCGTAAATAGAAAATGTTTCAACTTGGATGTTTCTGAATAGACAGTTCATTACTTATGCGAGAAAGTCTTTTTTTGACGAGATATGTGCACATCAATCAAGCAAGCAATAAATCAGCATTATTCATTCTTGGCCAATTGTTTTACGCTTATACAAGCTAGAAAAAAAGCCAGAAAAAATTCAGGGTCATACGGGATGCAAAGCCTTGAACTCCGTGATACCAGTGCAGGTTTGATACTGGCAGACTGTCCAACCATCCTGATCTCGTCAGGATTCTCCCGAAAATCTCAAAACCTGACCAGTATATGATCGGGATAGGAAAAATTCCAATTTTGAGATCTGTTCTGATATTTCATGTGAATTCTTATGATACTTATACAAGTATCATAAGTATACTTGACTGAAAGTGATATCCAAAAGATATCATAAGATGCAGCACTTGTCCTTGAAGACACGCAACATAAATAAGCCCCTACATTCCCACTTGGGGTCGACCCCAAAAAATCTAGAGGGGTTTATATGGAGTTTTCTGAGCATAACTGGGCTAATATCTCAGAGACAATTTGCCCGGAAATGCTCATTTTTGGCAAGTAGGCCGTTTGGACATTGTTCTTTCAGAATATTCTGACAAATCTCAAAAGAAATTTAATTTTCATGACGCCACACTTTAGTACTCTATATTACTACTTACTCAAGAGCTTGGACAGTCTGTACCAGGATGGAGCAGGTCATTGAGTTGGTTCATTATAAACCCATGACAGGATCAGACAGTGATCATACATGTATATTCATTATTTCAATGATAAGTGTAACCTGAGATCAGGCTCAATTTTTGTTTTGCTTTGTAAATAACATTGTGGTGGGCAAGGCGAAACAAAAATGGCAGTAGCCATTAGAGAGAATGTATGAGAACTGCTAAAATTGGGCCTGAACTCAGGTTATGATAAGTGTCCAAAGCAATGTTTATTTTGAATTAGGATATGTTATGTTCAATTCAATCCTCTGACATGGTGACTGCTAGTGACATCACAAATGATTTTAAAGTTTATAATATGGTCTGTAACGTGAATAATTATATAATATGCTCTGTGACATACTGCAGTAAGAGGGCCAAGAAGATCAGCATGTGCAAGAACATCTACGTGGAACACTATTTACAGGGACTTTGAGCCACACTAGAAAAAAGGGGGGAGATGTAGTGTCGGGTCTCAGGGGACTTAATGTACGATAATTAGATGCGGAATGAGCGTTAACATTCGAAGCAAAAAGGGACTTGATTTGCATATAGGACAGTGTAGAACGGACAAATAGGAGGACTATTAACGGAACTAAGGTCGTATAGTGTAACCGTTTATTGAGCTCGATTCGCGACTTCACACCTTTTTTCCAGGAAATTTTACAAGACATGGGAATTACTGTGATGGGAGATATAATTGCCATTTTAAGGCATAGCAAACAAGTTCATGCACAGGTAAGCCAACTATGTCGGTTTTTCTTATCAGTTGTTGATTGTTTTTCTTGGAAGCATTTCTACTGAACTAACCTTTTTGCTCCTGAACTCACCTTGGTCGTCTTGAAATTCTTTCAAAATAAGTGGTCAGATTATTATAGCTAAAACTCATTTTGTTGCATATACTGACCTAGTCATTAAAAACCTAGTTACTTTAAAATTTTATGCTATTACAGTGAACTACAAATTTCCATTCTGTCAGTATTGGTGCCTTTTTGTCCATGGCGTGTGATGTTATTGTTTCACCAAATACATATACAGCTTATTCATGTACTCCTATCAAAGTGGACTCTTGATTTACCTTGTAAACTCTAATGTGAATTAACCTTACAAAATCAAATTCGCTTGTATAAGGAACTCTCAAACATTTCATTTGCCTTTCTGTCAAACTTTTAGTAAGTACCTAAATTTATAACACTTTACACTATACAAATGGCGACCATTCAAATTCAAATTCAAATGGTAACCATTCAAAAGGTTTCAGCGAAAATTGTATGCCTTTGGAGGGGAAACTGTTTATGTATCCATCAAATTTGCAGAGTGAGAGAGAGAAGTCAGCAAAAGACATGGCTGCTACTGATGATCCAGATTCATCAGGTGAATCGTCACCAAGCAATCAAGTTCCTGTGGGTGCTAAACGTAAATCAACAGGTATACCTTGTTATTGATATGCTCAGGGCCCACAATGAGGGACACATGTGTTGAGACAATCTTCCATAAAATGGCTCTTTTTTGGCATAGCGGACATACAGTGTATCTATCCTGTCATCCTGTACACATCCATTCCCTCCCTCCAAACCAGTGTTGTATCTTTAACCCTCAAGTCTTCCTTCAACTACAAATAACATTGATTCAAGGGTGGATCAATAGAGATTTATGTCATTTAAACAGAATTGTATGTTATAGGGTTGTCACTAAGATTTCAAGTTGTCGAGTAAATACGACAAGTACCGTAGGTGGGGAATCAAACAGCTGGGGATTTCTTTTGGTTCTTCTATTTTTCCAGGTTCATAGTATCTGGGGGAAATCCCTGTCCCCTGCCTCTCAATGAGTGCCCTAATAAATGAATGAAATTGTTGATAAAAGCGACTATGGAATTTAGACTAGTGTGTCAACTGCTTTTATCACTGATTGCAGTTATTTTAAGGCCCTCTTAAGGCTGTGCCAACCTGCAGTTTTTACCCAACACTTCAGTTTACTCTATCCTAGATAGACTCTCTTGGTTTGGTAATTTAAATGAAGTACATACCTCTCTCTTTGAATAAAGGCTCAATAATATTTTAGAAGCTTCAGATACAAATTGCACCTTGATGATAGCCTGCATAGCCAGCAGGATTGTTAGCATGAACAAAGCTTTGGTGGAGGAGCTGCAAAACCGTTACTTGCTTCCTGCTTGTGGCTTTGCTACCCAAAACTCTCACACTTGCAAAAACAATTCTGCAAGCTATGCAAGGTACCTTGATGGAAAAATTTTGTATAACAAGTATTTCACCTAATAACCTACAATTGCCTCCGGTGACCCAAGGATTCAATGTGTATGTGATCAGCCACCTTTGATCAGTCATACTACAGACACAAGGGTTTCTGTGAAACCATCTTCATCAGACATTATGAATGTTGAACCAGTTCTTAAGAATCCATTCTATTGACTCACTTTTATAGTCACATTTGCAACGTTCACAGGGCCTCAATAATTTGCATCATTGGAAGTTTCATTGTTGTAGATCACAGTTGCAATCAATTATGTGGATGATAACATACTTGTGTTGAGATCAAAAGTTAAAACTGAATTTCCCTTGAAACAGATGACTGTTCTTTTGAATTTCTCCTATCGTCCAGTTTTGTTTGTCTCCTTTTCATGCTTTCTACTTTTTTTCACTCAGTACTGCCTGGGAAATCTACTGTACATGGCCCTTCATGGACATGATGGAATATTAGCTTCAATTATTTCTAACCACAGTAAAAGTTCACTGTTGTGAATTGTTCTTTTTTAGCTGCAAGCCGCATGGTGGATCATTGGATGAACAAACAGAAGTTAGAAAGTGGAAGTACCAGCCCTGCGCATGATCCCGAGTCATCACCGTCCCCATCCAAGAAAAAGCTCACCATTCATACAGTAGTATCAGACAAACCTCAACCAGCAAGGTCCCAGAAAACTCTTTCTGAAAGGTGTGTATCATACATTGTCATGTTTAGCCTGTTCCCTGCGCCCAGGTGCAGAGTTGTAACCGGTCATTTTTCCCCGCCCCGGTTACTTACAGTGTAGCCCCCTATTTTCGAGTCATTTAGCTTGCTTCAAATATAATATTCCTGGTTCTATAAGCCACAAAACTGAACAAGGGCGCTTTAAATGTAATATTCCTCGTTTTACAAGCCGTAAACCAAAACAAGTACGCCTCAAATACAATATTCCTCATTCTAAAATCGGGGGCTAAATAACCGGAGCGAAATGACTTTAGAGAAGCACGGTCAAGGGAAGCGCGAAGCAGAACGCCCCGGAAATCTTGCTCGCAAGCTAGGTCACTCCACAGGAATCCATCCATCTATTTAAAAACGTTAAGACACCTTTTAAGACTTTCTGATTCGCACCTGCAGTGGAAGGGTTAAGATTAAGCAGAAAGTGGAATTTTCCACTTTTGATCTACCTTACTTTCGATGCTGAGGTACACAAAATGGAGGCGTATAGAGGCTTTCTCCTGTTTTTTTTTTTTTTTTTTCGAGTCAATAGAGGAGTTCACGCTCATACATTTTCACTAATTTTGATACTGTCGAATTACAGAAAATGTATGGGAAAATCAAGGTTTTCTAAAATCTGATCACGGACTTCTTTGCACTCCAGATTTAGTGTATTGTTTCTTTGAACTCGTAAGTTACTCTTTTCAAATACAAAGCATCAAATGAAATATATGAATTCAGGAAGAAATAGCGGGCTTTGAAACAAATCTTCTAATTTCCCTCCGTCTTGCCCTGATTACCCATGATGCAACTATGAGCGTGAACTCCTCTATTGTGAAATTATAAAAAAACTAAATCTCGCTCTTTGGCTAAGTTCAAACGGCTGACAAATGTCACTGGAGTGGGATACAACTCTCACATAGAACCGTTCAATATTTATGCTTTTTTCACGTGGTACTGACGACTTTTCTCAGTGGTTTTTCCATCTACCCATGCGCAGAGCGTTACTTTGACAAATCCAAAATGGCGTCTTTCAGCTGGGTAGCCACGCAGTTATGCAACCACGCCTTTGAGATACCTTTAGGGTACAAGACTTAAGACGGTATTCACACTGCGGCGGTCAAATTTTCGAGCGTACCGGGTAAAAATTTAACCTCGATTTTGGCATTCAAATTTTTGAACGGCTAGGCGTCTAAATATTCCCTACGGTTAACGTTGTTCCGAGTGAACGGAACACTTTACACGCACGAATTTTTAACCGGTCGACTTGGGAGCTGTTTCCCGAAAGTCCCGATTTCTTTTCGCACCCGAAATCAAATATTCTCATCAAAATCTAAAGAATAAGAGCACGGGTCCTACCTAACAAACCTGTCCATTTTGTTTTGTTGACTGGTAGTTTCATCATGCTATCTGCAAAACTTTTGAAACTTCTTTCTTGAATATAAACAACAACAGTTTATTATCGGAACCTTTGGTCCGGTACCATGTGAATGTTGTCTTTGTCTTTCAATGTTTCCTGTACCGTCTCTTCGCGACGCGTCAAAGTGAGATATTCGGTGGGGGTTCGAGGCGCTCGATAATTTTGTTGTGTACAAGGATAATTGTGTCCTTAGGTCACTAAATGTTACTGCACTGATTTGGGCAGCTGACTCTGGCGTGACCTTATCCCCTCGATTACCTTGGCAGAGCTTAGCTCGCAGGCTGGTTTATTGAGACATTTGTTCCTTCTTGTAGATTTGGTGGCAAAGGAGGCAAGTTGTTTTCCAGAAAGCCTGAGAAAGTCAGTCCAAAGACTGAAGAACAAACACTAAAAGTAAAACTGCCTGAAGGATCAACTGCACGAAGCAAGAAGCTGATTGCGAAGCAAAAACAGGCGGCGGCTTCCGCTGTAGGTAAGTTGAAGTGCTATCCGGCATAACTTCATTGTGTTTACTGACACACCCATTCCCCCACCCCGCCCAAGTAAACAAGATTTTCCCGGTAGTTCCATAGAGTTCGAGGATCCTTTGAGTGGACTAGCTGGCCCTCTTATCTAATTGACATTGTAGTAAGGTAGACCGCAAGCGGTCGCCCTTTTTTCCCAGGGCCACGCGCGGCGAGCAAAAAGTAAACTTGTGCACGCCCCTCACGCACGCTCTCAGTCTATTGTGACTCAAAAGGAAAATAAGAGACTGCTCGCAGTATAGTTTCTTGGACACTAAGCCTTGGCTCCCGGGGGGAGGGCTAATCCCTATAATGGGCTATACGTGGAGGCTCCTCCTGAAAGGGGGTAGCTTTTTCAGGTTTCAGCTAGAGAATTCACGAGTTCAAGCACACGGAGGGGTAGGAAAATCTATCATTAAAGTATATTTACCCTTTAAAAAAGGTCGTTTAATTTAAATGTTTCGAGAAAGCGCGCTTTAGCGAGTTATACTTAGGTATGTGAAAGGGGTACCATTTTTCAATTGAAGAAAGTTATATAAAAGGGTAAGGAGCCTACCCATGTAAAATTTTGTTGAGTACCCTCCCCCCCAGGGCTTTGGTTTTACTTTGTGGCATTTCTGTTTTGCAGTCAACAAAGCAAAGGTGATAAAGAAACAGTCAGTGTTTGATCGTTTGGGTAAAGAAAGTCCTCCATTAACGGTAACCATACCCGCAGAGAAGAAGCAAACTGAGTTAAAACCACTCAAACCTTTAAAAACAAGCGTTGCTGTACAGCTAAAGGTGAGTAAAAGGTTAAACTGGTGGAAATGGTGTTCCTGCTAGCATGAGAGGAGTATTGTCCAGATTGTACTTACTTGTAATTGGATTGCCTCCATTAAGCCATTTTCGAGTTCCAGAAATTCGCACTTTTAAAATGGGGCCAAATGGAAAACCTTTCGTGACCTTCCAAAAAAAAAGCTTCATAAGCAAAACAACTTTGCACGTACATCATGATTTTCTGTCAATTTCTTTGGCGTCCTTATACAACTACGACGTGAAATGACCAAGTTTCAAGTTCTTTTTTTTTTTTGAGAACGTGAACGGCAAGGCGATAAATGTTTCTTAAGCCCTGATTTTACTGAATCTTTCTGAGCTCGGACGCGGTCCTTTCCCCTTATCTCCGTCTTAATTTCCCAACTTTAAAAGACTGAACGAATTGGAAAAATCGCGAAAAAGATTGACAGGACGCGAAATAATGTTTTCAGTGACGCTTTTACTGGCGTCGCTGTTGTCAAGTCCCGCGCAAACGGACGCAACATTGTTAGGCAACAACTCCCAAAAATGTTGGATGTTACATGTTGCGTCTGTTTGCACACCCTGTTGTATGTTGTTGGTAGTTGTTGCGTAAAGTTTGAAATCGGTCAAACTTTCAGCTTTGTGCAAACGGATGCAACAAGTCGTTGTTGCTTAAGCTCCCTATTGTCAGCGCCTTTCCTCCCTTTTCAAGTACCATGATTATTTAGCTGTTTCTTTTTTTTGCAGGAGAAAGGACAGTCCTCCGTGTTTAGTCGTCTGGGAGAACTGGCTTCACCAGCAACTCAAACAACTGTCCAAGCTGTAAATCCAAGAGTACGGCTTCCCTCGGACGATGGACCTCATGCTGGTGTAGACTATACAAGTCACAGCGTTCTCCAACCGGTTAAACGGAAAGGAAGTCAGGCTAAACCGGTTAAACCAGTGAAACCTGTCAAGCGAACCCTAGGATTAACCTCGGACGTAGATGAAAAATCGGTTTTCGCGCGACTGGGTTCGAAAGTGCAGCAATGAAGATGCAGTAATTTTAAATCGGTTCTTCGAAACTGGAGATTCTTTTTAATCTCTTGCAGTTATGATCAAAGCGAGAGTTTTACTTCATGAACTAGTAACTCATCCGGCGACTATCTGTAGGTTACTATATGCCTGTTAGACGGATAAAACCGGATGGACAGGAGGAAAAATCATGAACCCTCGCGTGTGACCATTTATAACGAAGGATACTTTATGGTTTTTATGATACCACTTCTTTTAACACGGAGATATAAAATCCTACATTCCGACATTTGTAGTGAAAAACTACATTCTTATGCTGTTTATGTGATAGTTGTTGACAGTCAACAATAAACTGTTTTTGTTTAAACTTGGGGACTACGTCAGGAACACCTGACTCATTGTAGTCCGGAGGCTTATGCGGGACAAAGTTTTCATATTTTTAGTGATATCGTTCCTTAAAGGTTTCGATTGCAAGCAATTTCTACTATACAAAAATAGTGATTATACTTTAATGCCATGAGGGCCGTGAGTGTAACCTAATTAATGAGGAGGTGGTCGTATTAATTTGGATTCAAAACTTATTAAAATTCATAAAGAAAAAAACAAAAGAAATTAAAGTTTAATGAGTGTCTTTATATCTGTTGTGGTTCAATTTTTTCCTTGGTTTAAATTTTATTTTCCTTTGTTTTGGGGTATGGTAATATATGATAATGAGTTTTAAACAAAATTTAAACCAAGGAAAAAATTGAACCACAACATATCTAATAGGACACGGCTAAACTTAACGTCCACTTTTTACATCAAAATAACCCCAAATCTAAATATTAGTGCAAGAATGAGTTGATCTATATCAGTGATTTTGAACCCGTTCAAAAAACTCGCAGTCGTAACCTTACAGAGCGATTTTCGTATGACCTTGAAAAAATGGTTTCGGTAAGTGTTCGCTATTTGTTTTATCAGCCAATGGATGAAAAGATCAAAACATGGACACTTTGTTTTCCCTTTTAAGAAAACCGTAATATGGAGAAGGCATTGTTCGATTGACCAATCGTATTGTTTTTTCACCCGAGCGTCCGCTAAACTAACCAAAAGCCACGCGCGTTTGTGTTCGTTCGATAAACCAATCAAATCGTTCTATTTCCGTTCGTTTGTTGTTTCTGTTTTCTTCGCGCGTTTTCATTTCAAGGTCATAGGAAAGTCGCTCTAATACACTACTGTTCGTTTTTTAAACAGTACTTGGCCGAGTGCTTTTTGACTCCCTCTAAATGATACAGTATGACATGTAGTTGAATCGCAATTTCTCAAATCCCGGTTTCTCGAACCTCCTGTTAACTCGTTCTGTTAATAAATCAATTCGTAGGTGTAAACCCTCTCCCAATCAGACATCGTAGGTCTCCTCCCGTCTCCAGATTTTACGAACCCGTTAATTCCCTTTGTCCTGGAGGTCCCAACAACCAGTACTTCATACAAAACAAGTCACCCTCAAGAACTTGTGCTGGGCAGAAAAGTGCACGAAAATCCTTGCTGACAAGGAGAGGTCAGTTACTAGGCACCTTCACTTGTTTTAGAGACATTTGACAACCGATAACATGGCTAGTTAATTGATTGCCACGTCTTCAAACAACACCACATCCAAAAAGAGAACCATTTTATTTGACAGACATTCATCTCGATTTAAATACAATTATTTTTTCCTTTAAAAGAATTTTAAGAAGATGGCCTAGGGCCTTGCATTGAAACAGGTGGTGGGAGAGGTCCGCCTGGTCTAAAAAGTCCTGGAAAAAGAGGAAAAAAAGACAAAAGTTTGAATACAGCTCGAAAACACAAATAATTGAATTTGTCATAGGGGAATTTTTGTTATGTTCCGTCCATCTTAAGACAGAAAAAAGAGGCTCTGAGCCCAAATGTGAAAAGAACATGCTGGGTAACAAACAAACAAATAATTCTCTATTCGTAACGGGCGATGGATCAAAACTAAGAGAATTTGTTAGTCTAATTTCCTAGAATGCGTGACGAACGAACCTCAAATGACATCCGCGGGGAGGCTACTAATTTCCCAGAGACTCTGTTGTTGCACTTCTAAGGCTTCTGATTGGTTTAAGAAAGGAGCCCATCAAATTTGATTAGCTCCTGTTTAAGATTATTAAAAAAATAAATAAATAAATCTAAAAAAATTAACTTCCTTAGCCAGTTAGAATGACGCGTCTTACCGCGCTTCACATCGGGTTCTGATTGCTTCACTGACCATTTTCATTTTGCCCATAATAAACTTCGTTTGACTCCCTGCCCCCCCTCCACCCCCCGCTCCGAAAAAAAACAACAGTGCATACTCACTGTTACCAATCTCTCCTGAGTATTCCGCAAGGAGAAATTGAAGACACTTCTAATGCAAAGGTTTGGGGGTTAAGCAAGGGATATTATGGGCAATGTGAAAATGATGATTAAAAGTAACAACAGTCACAACTTGCGCTTCGGCAGACCTTAAAATACTTACGAGGTCCTTGTCCACCAGAAACAGGAGGAGGAATCATAGGCGGTGGGGGGAGAGGAAATCTTGGCATACCCATCATGGGGGGCAAAGGCCGTGGGCCAAATCCAGCCATGGGGGGTGGAGGAGGGGGAGGAAAACGGGATGAGCCATCTGGAGCGTCACCATCCAGTTTAGAGGTCTGAAAAGAAAACACACGAAGCCAAATCGTTTATTAAAATATTTGGAAATTAAAACGATATAGTTTGTTTCGGCGGTGTACGGACAAGTGGTACAAGTGTTTAGCAGTTACTTTGGTTTGTAAGTCCTCTTCCAGGCTTCGGATAGTAAGGACGTGGCGAGGAGGGAAGGAAATTAAAGAAGCGAAGCCAGAACCAAATCTAAGTCTGTCACTGGCACGCTTTTGCGCGCGGGTGGCGCTGGTTAGACTTAAAAGTGGTTCGCCAACCTCGCCCCTAGTAGTGAAGAGAAACGGGCCTAAGGACAGGATTGGCAGTTCGTTTGATGGGCTGCTAAAATTTGCTAGAATAATTAATTGGATTTGGCTTATTAACACTTGAGAAAGCAAAGGGTTTTACACTGTACTAACATTCTATTTACTTGCTAGAGTGCTAAAAATATCTCATTTCTTCCAACCGAGGAAGCCCATTTTTCCTCAGCCTCCGGCTCGTCTCGCTACCTCGCGGGAGATGACATAAAAACAACCAAATGCAACCCCCACCTTCAGGGAACATGTTTGAGGCACGCAAAGGTGCATATAAAGAAAACAATGAGATAAGATACCTGAGGAGTTGAAGTTGTCGGGGGAGGAGTGGCATGACCCGGAGGGGGAAAGGGTGCTCGAGGAGGAGGAGTCATCATAAGCATTTCAGCAGGGTGCCTTCGTTGAACTGGAAACATTCCTGGGGGAGGAGGTGGGGGACCTAAAAAGAAAAGAAAAAACAAACAAACACGTAAACAAAAGCTACCCTTGAAATAACCTAGCCTCAACCGTTAGAACAAACTGCCATCAAGCAAGGGGTACCTATGATATAATAAGCGTCACAGTGCGCTAGATTTTCAGACTAGTTTTAGAAACCTCCTCCCCAAAAATTCACTGTGTGCTCCCGCCGGGTGATTGCTTCCGGGTTAAAGTGCTAGAAATAAAACGGCCCGTGACACCGCATTTTCGCCAGTTTCGTTACGTTCTACTGATTATTCGCAATGAAACTGAACGTTAGCAAGGAAATAAGAGTCTAAATGATAAAAGCACAGCTTCCGAACAAAGAAATATCTATCCCAATTTACAACGCTTATATTCACATCACACAAGAGAGAAATTTAAAAATTGTTACGTTCAACAGTATTTAAAGACCCCAAATGCAATCTATTTTAATTTTTTTTTAGTTTTGTCCACTCACGCCTTGCCTTCCTTTATAGTTGTTATACAAGCTAAATGTTCCTTATCTGTTTTAGCGTTTTTTTCAATACCACAATAGAAAGTTAGGCTTCACGTATGCGGCAACCGTCAGATTCAGGTTGAGAATTCTCAAAGTAGAAGATTAGCAGATTGAAAATTGCTCAAAACAATTCTTATTGAAAAAAATTTACGTGAAACTACTAATTTATGTGTTGAAATAATAAATAGTTAACGACAAGTAAAGGGGAAACTTGATCACGTGGTACAAATTCACGTTTGCCTTTTGACGTAAACGTGATGCTTGACCTCTCTAATGTCATTCACTTAGCCGGCAAGTTCCTTATAACTGATTTTAGCTTAATTTCTAGACACAGCTTCTCTAAGACTAAACAATTTTTTTTTTCAACTGGAAATAACGGATTCAATAAACACTCATTTAAATCATTAATTTAGCATATCTGTGACCAGAATAAAAAGCAACATGCAAATACGTACCCATCATAGGAGCAAATGGAACAGGGCTACCATGTCCGGGCGGACCAGTCATTGGACTGTACATTCAAAAAGAAAGAAAAAGGTTTTTTTCATGATGTACAATTCAGGGAATACCAAGCTTTTATTTATAGAATGAACACAAGCTCCTCTCTAACAAAAAAAAATAAATAAAATAAAAACGCTTACCTTTGTCGCGGCGAGTCCCGGCCATCGACTGCAAAATAAGATAGGAAACCCTTACATGTAAAATTTGGCAAGTACAGATTTTTTATGGTCAACAGGTTAAACAGGTTTGAAGTTGTTTGATATGGAAAAAGTGTTGTAGATGAACTCAGACGCAAAAAAGTCTGAATGTTACTATTACCTTACCAGTGCCAAAAAACTCTCAGAAATGTTTTGGCGTTAGCGTAATAAACGTTTAATGAGGTCCTTGAATTTTTTCTTGTGGTCTTTTTCAGAAAATCTGGACGATAATCGCTGTAGGCGAAAATATCCAGGTTGTTTGCTGACCAAACCATTTCACTTTGATTGGTGTCATTCGACGATCTCAAAGCCTAAAACGGAAAAAACAAACATAGAACGATTGAACAGGCTGCATTGATTGTCTTATCAAACAAAGTAGACCAACTCACCGTGGTTCATTTGATTGAAAAAAATGGGGGAAAGGGAAAAGGAAAGGTGGTCAGATGAGCTTGGACGATAGCTTCCATCCCTAACCCCGTCCAAAATATCATTACAGCCTAGAAACGGAAAACAACAAACATAGATATCCATTGAACAGGCTGCATTGCTTTACACATCTGATATCAAACAAGACGTAGGAGGGCTTCCGACAGGGGTCATGGGTTGGGTGACTACCGCAACTAGTCAAGGAAACAAATTCTTAAGGGAACATGCGACAATCTTTGGAATAAACATACTTTCTCCTGAGGAGATCATTCTCTTCTTTAAGAGCTTCTACTTCATTTGCTGCAGCCCTATAATCCAGCTGAAATAATAAATGTTTTAATAGATACATAAGTTAAAATTGTGTGAACGAATAATCAAACAACAGAAACAATCTAAAGTCACTGCCATGTTTCTTGTTTCACCTAACTTTCTTTCCACCTGATGTAATTGTCTCGAGAAGCGTTTGCTACTTGTGAAGAATGAAAAAGGACTGAGAAAAACCAAGTGAGGGAAAATCATGATGATGATGATGATGTTAACGATAATGTTAATAATGAAGATGATGATGATGATGATGATGATGATGATGATGTAAAAGCTTATTTTTATGATGAGACTGCCCAGCATTTATTCTTTGAGAGCAGTGCAAGCGTCCTTCCACATTGGATTAAGGAACGCTGTTGTCGTCGTAGATGCCTTCGTCTCAACTTACCCAGTTTTGATGTGCTTTGGTCTCCATGTTAGATAACTAAACAAGAAAAAAAGTAGAGATTATTCTATCGTGAAATGATAAGAAACTAGTAACACTGATATTTTCTCCAAATAAATTGTCAAATACAACAGCGTCCAAGTGAAAGTTACAGTGCCACTTGTAGTCGTGGTGGTCCTTAGAGCTGGCAACTGCCGGTTTAATTTTTGTCATAGTATAAACAATATACGATAGACAATTAATGTACTTTTCTATGGCCGAACCGAACCTAAATTAATGATGTGAAAGAAGGTAAAAATCTACTTACTTGTTCCTTTTTACTCTGATCTATCTCTTCGATTTGTTTCTTAATGTCCAAATACAGCTGTCTGAACAAAACAATTTTTTGCTTGTCAGTATTAAGTCCTTACTCGGATGATAATAAAAGGGCAAAATGAATAGTTGAAGCAGGCAGCGAGAACTAGTCCTAAAGCCGTCTGACATAGAGGGAGTTTACTTTACAAGCTCGTGCCAGACAGTTGTATCCATTAGTGGAGACTGTAATGCAAAGAGGGGAATCGAACGAAGAAATGAAGGAAGAGCCAGTCCCGGTTTCTGTGAGCAGAGCACCTGGAAATATTGTTATTTCCTCCTCGATGAGATGCTACTCCACTACAGGACATGTTGCCGGCACCTACTTACACACCACGGAGAAGCGAGACAGTGGAACGCAAACTTCTTATCTAAGCAAACAATACCTGGCACGTAGCACGGCCACCTCAAGCTCCAAAGAAATATAACTGTTATAAGGATTTAAAAGGATGAACAATATCTCTCTCTCTCTTTGTCCCGTTCTTCACTACAATAGCCTCGCACATTACGGGCCTTGCATAAAAGGGGAGAGTACTCGAAACGAAGTCATAAAGAAGTAATAAGACTTAAAAAAAAACACCTGTATTTATCAGCATCAACAACAGCAGTAGAAGCTTTGGCCTGTTCGGACTGGAGCTGGTTCTCTGTGCTAATCCGTGCAGACTCTTCAGCTGTGAGTTTTCTACAAATATGAAGAAAAAAGAAAAAGACCTCTTAATATTATTTGTTTTACACTTATAGACACTGTTCAGTGCTTCTATATAAATTCAAAAATTTCTAAGTGAAATCATGCAGCAAGCAAACGTTTTCTATTGGCTTAGAAAAGGACTTTATTCTGACCAATGAAACAGAGGAAGACATTGGAAAGAACCAATCACAACTCGAGTTCTTGCAACCAGCGATGAGCGCGGGAAAATGTGTGTAAGCCATGTCGTGTTATAATCTGCCTGGATATTATATAAGACCCGCTCTAGCTCCAACTATAAGAAGTCTTCTGAGTTCGCTTTATTATGACGTTTTGGAGCTTAATTAAATACCATTAAATACAAAACGTATTTTGATCAACACTTCTTTGGCTTGTTTCGAAGGGCTTTTTCTATTCCGTTTATAAGACCCCGCGAATATAAGCCCTTCCGTTTATAAGTCATCCTAAAGCCACTTACGAAGATGTATAAGCCCAGTGCTTATAAGCGGCAGTTAACAGTATTGCATTGGTTTGACTGGTCGACCAAATGGCGAAAGAGGTTTAACCATGTAACGAAGGGTAGTAACGTAACCATGCAAGACCAAAGCAGTTCTTTTGCCGTTCAAATATTAAAAGAGGGAACATTTAAGTTAATAAATGACTGAGAAGATGAAATATCTTAGTTAATACATACCTGTGTAATTCAACCTCCGATGACTTGAAATATTTCTGAAGAGCTTCCAGTTCGATTTCCTTTTCTCGCTGGCTAAGAGCAGCATGGTCGGCTTTGCTTTTAAGCTGAACCAGCTGTTCTCGTATTTCTTCTACTTCGTCTGCAATCAAAAATATGCAATTTTGTATTTACTCTGGTTAACGTTAAAATGCATGATAATTAATAGTAGGTGATAAGAACGCTACATTCAAGAGAGTACAAGTTTCATTTACAGCTCAAACGCGTATTGATCAGTTAATACGAACATTGAGAAAAACATAAGTACGTGTTTTAAGGCCCCAGTAGCCTAGCGGCTCATTAGAACCTCTTATTTAACTGGACGACTATGGCTCGCAGCCCTTTTGTTTTCGCGTTCTAAAGTTATCAACGAATTTATGACCAACTCGAAGGCAAAATTCGTCTTCGGGTACTTGGTGCCGAAACGAATCACGAAGTTGAAGCCCCGTGCAAACGGATGCAACATTGTTGGCCAACGATTCCCAACATTTTTGGACGTTAAATGTTGCGCCCGTTTGCGTACCCTGTTGCAGGTTGTTGCGTGTTTTTGGGAGTTGTTACGCAAAGTTTGAAATCAGTCAAACTTTTTGCTACGTGAAAACGGACGCAACAACTCCCAGCAATGTTGTGGGCTTGAAGCAAACTTCGCCTTCGGTAGTAAATCATTAAAAAATTCATCGAGACAAACCCTAATGTAAAACTCGTCTGAAAATAGTCTAACAATGTTAATAGAACAAGCCCAGGACCTAAAAATCAAGTAAAGCCGACAAACGGGAGGGAAAATCAAATGTTCTTTACCCAAATGCCGTCAGTCTTATTTACTTACTTTCAAGCAGTTTCTTAGTTCTCCTGTGATCATCCAGTTCAGATTCCATCGCTTTCTGAGACTCAAGAGACTTTTTCAGTTCTGATTTCGCCTAAAACATAACGAAAACAAACCATTTTAAAGTTTTTACAACAAACAATTCAATGACCTACTCCCAGTTCGCTTGCTAGCTCGACTGGTAGAGCGCTGCACCAGTATCACAGAGGTCAAGAATTGGACTCCCGTAACACTTGAATTTTTTCAGGCTTTCTAAACTACGATGTTCTTCTTTCATTTAAAACACTTTTTTTAACTAAGACAGACAGACGGTTCACAGCTTTATAAAGGGTAGAGTCTTACCTTAGCAACATCCATCATGTCCCCTATTCGCTTTTCCAGTTCTTGTGGATCTAACATAAAACAAAGAAACTGTTAAATGAACAAAACAAATCATAAGCTTTTAGGTTGGGATGGAAAAGATAAAATTTAGAACGAACTCCTTTCCTGTAATACTGTTTGTTACGCTACACAAAGTGGTTCCAACTTTCGAGTCCGTTTAAATGAAATCCTGTGTTGGTGAGACCATTTCAATTAAGGCCACTGAGCAGTGTTTTGTGGTGCCATTAATAATGCTTCAAATTTGGAGTTCTTAATAGCTCCATAGTACTTCTTGAAGTAACTGTCTACTTTTTTGGTATTTTTGGTATTTTTATTTGCAGTGGTCATGATTATTCACTAGGTGCAGTCTAGATAAACCCCTTTCTAACCTGAGAATACAACTAATCCTAAGTAACGGTACGGTAAGACGGGCGACAAAAACGTGCAACTTGTTTAGCAACATTGCTGCAAGACCAGTTGAATAGCGATGTTGCGCGTTTAAATACAACCCATGAATCAAACCTTTCTTGCAACAAAACAGGTTGTTCCTCTTTGAGAAAAGTTTTTGCAGAAAGAGGAGAGAAGTTCTATGTTTTGCAAAAAAATATGTGCACGTTTCGCGTTTTACCGACCCAAGGCAAACTTGTTTTGCGACAAGTGACGTAAAATCCTGTGTATGGCGTGACTCCGGCGTAATTTTATCCAATCAGAAGACAGTATTCACGCTACATGCAACAACCTGATTTGATACAAAACAGGTTTGAACGCGGGTGGTAAAACGCGGAACGTCGCTTTTTAACTCGTTTTGCAGCATTGTTACAAAACAAGTTGCACTTGTTTGTTGCCCGTTCTACCGAAGCTTAAAGACTGCGCTGTTCGCTTTTCTAACCTGCTTCCTCATCTGTCTCTCTGTCCTCGTCCGCAGATGCGTTGACTTTAACTTGCTTTAAACAATCTTGTAGAAGCTTTAAATAAAAAGTTGAAATGTTAGCAATGGCCACATGCACCGTGGAAAAAGCTATTCATTGATTCGCTGCGGTATATTTATCGTTATGTTCAACAAACCGATGCAAAAGCAGTGACATTCTAGTTTCCCTCCTGCGGTGCTAATCGCGAGTTATTGTTTTGCTTGTTACAGCGTTCACGCGGCACGGGACGAATTTTCGACCGGCTGAAAAATTTGACAGGGCACTTCGTTCACACGGAACCGTTCAATATTTTCACTCTGTTTGCAATAACCTGACGAATCAGGCTGAATTTTCGTACAGTTAGCGTGTTCCGTATGAACGGAACACCTCAACGCACGAATTTTTCACTGTTTGCCGAAAATTCGTCCGATGCCCTGTGAATGTAGCCTAAGAGAGTTTTTTTTTTGACACCGCTGATCCTGACGCTGTCGTGACGGCTTAAGCTCCCAATAATTTCCACGAAGTAAAAGGCTTAGTCCCGGGAAAAGCCTAATAAACAACAATGAAGTTGCTTCATCCAGGCCCGTGTTGTTCAAACGTTGGATAGCGCTATCCATCGTATAAATCACTATCCAGCGGATAAGAATTTGAAAAACCACTTGCGTTATCCGCAGGGTAGTGATTTGTCCAGTGGATAGCGTTATCCACTTTTCGAACAACTGGGACCAGCTGTAGAAAGGCGGGGGTAGCTGCAACACAGCGCTGGATGGTCTCCCTGTGGTTATACAGCCTTCTTATAATCTCTAGTGAACAGCTCAAAAGTCATACGTGGCTGATTTATACAACAGAGAAAAAAGAACTGTGAGCGCGGGCACGAGTCCTCTGTGGTTCGAACTGAGGTAACTGTGACTAGTTCAGTTTCAGCTTCTTCTCTGACCATGTCCTTCTTTCAATCTTATCAAAAAAGCTTGTACACTCGATGAGTGCAAAACGACTGTTATTTAGAAATGGACTGATATGGAAAAAAGGGTGAATAGGGGACTGAATTAATGCTAATATCAAATGCCTCCATGTTATACCTCACATTCGTCCCGCTTGTAGTTTAACTGTTGTTCCATTTCAGTTAAACGGAGCACCTGCTCATCAAATTCTGCCTGCAAACTTTCCCTGCTGTAATAAGAAATATACGTACGTTATGTCCCAAAATAACAAAATTTTAACCGCAATGTAACTTGTGGACCAACGAAACACCTTGAAGCTGTTCAGGACCTCAATTAACATCGCAGTGAGGAGTGAAAAAAAACCATCGCACCCAAAGAAAAACCTCTCAAAGCAAGAGAGAGAACCACCAATAGGCTTAAGCGGTCGTTTCGCCCGAAGGTCGATTCGCCAGACGGCAGTTTGCCCGGACTTTCACTCTTTTTTTTTATAAGAATATATTTTATAAGAATATCGAGGCTGAAATTTCCGAAATTTTAAGAATATTTTAAGAATAAAGCCGAGGCTGAGATTTTGAAAAGGATAGATATAATTTTGTGTGTTGAAACATCTGTAAATACAATACAATTTTATGTTTTTAACTTAACCGTATAAAATTATTCCAACTAGCCAACAAAACGAAAAAACCTGCACTAGCTATAGCAAAATGTTCAACGCCAATGACAGTTCGACGAACGGTGCATGTAATACATATGTACAGTATTCAGCACAAAAGACATAAACTAAACCGCAAAAAAGTGTTATGACAAATTCTTTCCTTTTTAAATAACAAAACCTAGCGAAAACAAAAACAGCAATAGGCTTTATTTAAGAATAATTCAAGAATATTTTCAGCCTAAAATCGGCAGAAAAATAAGAATATTCAGCCTGGGCCGGAAAAACAACATTCTTATAAAAAAAAAAGAGTGTATATCGCCGGGCTCGCCTGATGTTTATTTGTCGTTCTTTACGCCCGAAAAAAGGAATAAAAGAATAAGCGCAAAAAGACAGTAACTGCAGATGTTGAATCCAAGCTTAACTAAAATAACATCTCTGATAAGTGTGTTCACCGCCGTTAAGCAAATCGACTTTCGGGCCAAACGACCGGAATTCAACTCAACCCACTTGGCCAGACTAGTCAGGGGAGGTGAGTGCTCCACCCACTCTTGCTTTACTATAAGAAGTACGTTCACTGTGACAAACACTGGGTTTGAACGGATCTTGTGCGACAACTGATTTTCAGCAATTAGTCAAGTCTCAGTATATTTTTCACACCGCTCTTAATAGTTGCTATCTCCCTGTTTGACCACTAATAATACACTGTGAGCTTATTCTTACCTGTTCCTCGCCTCCTGAAGCAATTTTTCAAGCTGTTTAAAAAATACATCGGCAGATAATACATTAGTTCCATAATAATCTGAAACACACAATTGAAGGGCTACGTCTACCAGCCTTATCATACTTAGTCTTAAACACTGGCAGATGTCAGAGTAGCCTGCAAACGCAGACGTATTTCCGTTCGTCGCTTCTTCTACCCGATAAGTAACTTTTAGCGTGGAGAGAAGCGACGACCGGAAAGACGCCTGCGTTCGAGGGCTAAAAGGGACTTTACGATCCATCGACGCGATGGCAACGACAACGCAAAAAAAAAAACAAACAAACAAACAAACAAACAATAGGTTTAGAGGGCAAAACAGCGACTTTAACTTGGATAAGGATGCTAGCAATTCAACTCCAGGGGGCTTCGCCTACTTTTGATCACGTGTAGAAATAATCGCGATAAAAACTGGAAGAAAGTAAATTCACTTTTTATGCGACGTCATCGCTGCCAAAGCGTCGTCGCAAAGGAAGCACTTACTAACTCAGCTTGTTAAGAACCTAAATGGTGGTCCGACCCAGATCGAACCAAGGCATACCGCTACACAGTCATGTGCTCAATCACTTGAGCTAACCTGCAGGCGACGGTTTACACATGAAAAGTTCGTATCTAGCCTCAGTGACAGCCTCCCAAGCAAACGTTCTTAAGGCTTTGTCACGCGTTCGTGAGGAAGACTCAAACGCGTGACGAAGCCTTAACAACGGTTGCGTGGAAGGCTACCTCAGCGAGCGATTTGAGAAATAGGGCAACACCCTGGGTGCTTACTGTTTACACAAAATTGCCCGCATGAAAATCCTGTGCATAAACGTAAGACTATAAAATTTGACTTGGGGAGAGAACGACCTGCTACAGAGTGTATCCAAATCAGCTGAACAGACTAGAAAGAACAGCAAATATTCCATCGCTTCAAGTCACAGCCCATATTTACTGAAGCTTCCCAAACGGAATGGCGCGAACCATTTGATTTTCCCACTGGAGTTTCCGGTTTTCCCATGTAAATGGCACGTATACCCTTCGTTTTCACTACGCAAGTCAAAAGATAGTAAATAGGGATCAACTTAGGTTTCTGGGAAACTGCCCACCTACCCCTCCCCTAAGCCAACATTATCACGTACTTCTCACTTAGGGCAAAATGTTGACTTAGGGGAGGGGTAGGTGGGTAGTTTCCCAAAAACCTAAATTGCTCCGCAAATAGTACTCCTTTATACAAGCACCTTGTCATTTTTCTCATCTGATTGTTGAATTTGGCTGTTTAATTCATCAATCAGCTGTTGATTAGCCTGTCTCTCTCTTTGCTGTTCTTGAATGTCCTCATGTAACTGTAAATTCATATAAAAGGTATGTGAACAGAAGAGATGAGAATTCATCGGGAACTGACGCCCGTTTCTCGGAAGTCCCGGTAGCTTTTCGGGCTCTCTAAGCAAATTTGAAAACGAAAAGCCTTCAGTCTAGGAAGGTGCCCCTCGCCAGTATCTCTGAACATAGTAATTTCATGAAGGATCCAAGGAGAATGCTTTGCCACTGGAGAATGCTATGCACTTTATGTCTGACCCCGAGTCCGCGAACAGTTGATTCTCATCAAACAAAAACTAACCGTTCCCAGGCTGGAGATCAGGCATTATTGTTTTCCATCTTTGCTTCTTTGCCACTGATTACTTTCCCGAAATTTCCTCCACTATGTCCAGGCACTATATTGTAAGATGTGAGCAAAAATGGAGATGCAGCTAAATAGCTTTCAGACCTCCGTTGAGGTACCTTGAAGAATTTCAAAGCCAAAGTACGCAAAATTTCCTGGTAATTAGTACCTAAAATCTAAGCCTCTTCAATGACATAAATTTTCTTTGTTTCATCTAACGAATAATTAAAGAGGTTGGTAAAATAAGGCTGCAAGATCACCCTTTAGAGAAACAAAGAATCAGCCACATGGAATGTTACCTTTTCAATTTCAGCTTGCTTGGCTCCAATCTTCGACTCCAATTCCACAATCTGTTGAGACAAACAGATTATTATTAGTATGTAAGGAAAAGTTGCACCTAGCTGTGTCCAGAATAGCCTGTATAACTTGCGTTATTTTATTTGATTAATTCCCTTCGGAGCGCGATGATTCTTAAAAGAACGGAAGGAAAAAGAGGACGAAGCCTTGAAAGGAGAAACCGACTGCCCTCCTCGCCATTTCTTGCAGACAAGATACATGTACGTAGGCTAGGCTTGAAACTGGACAAAAACTACAAAGCACCGCGCGTTCAACGTTCTGGCAAAAAATCACAACCAGAATCATGTACAAAATTTTACTGCAACGGCAAATATACAAGACTATGTTATAAATGTTTTACCATGTCCTGATATTCAGCGATCCTGTGTCCTTTCTCCCTGATCTCAGCTTCTGCTTCTGCGTGTTCATTAGTAGCCTTTGTTATACACTCACTCATCTCATCCCCCTTTTTCTGTAGACAAAAGAAAATAAATATGCCATTGTAACATTACATCAAAATCCGTATTCTCTACACTACTATTTATCCCAGGGGTGGGGTGTGTGGGGGGTGCTCAACAAAGTTTTCTACGGGGAGGCCTTACCCCGAGATTCAACTTGTAGCAGTTTGGACAGAAAAGGAATCCCTTTTGCATATTTTCCATTACAAAATGCTGTCCCTTCCACATACCTACTTACTAAGAGGAATAAATCGTTGAAGGCTTGTCACTTATATGTAGCACCCACAAAGTTATAAAATACCTAAGTGACAGATTTCCCGGATCATTTTACGTTTCTGTGAAACTGCCCACCTACCCCTCCCCTAAGCCAACATTTTGCCCTAAGTAAGAACTAAGTGATACTGTTGGTTTAGGGGAGGGGTAGGTGGGCAGTTTCCCAGAAACCCTTTCATACTCTTGAACTCGCTCAATCTCTACCTTTTTATTTAACTTAAGCCAGCAAAAGATATTCTTTTTAGGCAGAATCCGTCCCCATAAATGGCCATTATGAAGCGGAGTACCCCTAGACATGAACTCTTTAAATATTCCTTTGATGTGTACAGTCGACTCTCTCTTAACGGACACCTCTATACGACGGACACCTCTGTAAAACGGACACTTAGAGTTGGTCCCTGCCTCTCTTTACTCCCTTTATTTGACTCTCTATAAGATGGGCACCTCTCTAAGACGGACACTTAGTGCTGGTCCCAAAGATGTCCGTCTTAGAGAGAGTGGACTGTATTCAGGGAGAGAATATTTTAAAAAACGTCAAACATTGATTTTTATCTTTAGTAGTCCTTTTTTCTATTTCTCCTCAACCTTATAACTTCTTAAACAGCAATATCAGTAAGGAGAAATTAGATGTTGATTGATTATATGGCTGAAAAGATCATGGATCCCATATTCTGATAGTACAGAGCCTTCGTAAGTCAAAAAATCTCTTTAGTGTCAATGTCTTGAAGCACAAAGCTGTAAATTAATACAAACCTTTAGTTTCTTGATTTCCTTTTGAAGACGTTCTATCTTGATATCAGTGTCTTTCAGTTGGTCCTCGCAAATATATTTCTAAGATTGATAAAAGGTGACAAAATAAAATGAAAAACTTTGCTTTACAAAGGCACTGGTGTATTAAATCAATGTTAAATATAGTGTACAGCACACCCGCAATCAATGATATAAGGACTTTGCTTTTGCACAGAAAGACTATTGTTATTATTTCAAACCCCAAGGAGTGTTATTTAATTTATGATAAAGAAGAAAGCAAAAATATGAAATGAATAATTACATGTCGGAACTAATACTCAAATGACATAAATGTGAAAATGGCCGATTGGCAAATGGAATGGAAAAAATGTTGTTTTCAATATTCTTGACTATAAGCAGTCAGTGCATCAAAATCAAAATCTGGCAACTCCAGGTTTGCGTTCCATGCCGGTAACTAGCTGCAGTTGTTTCTTAGAATAGTCTTGAGTTCAAGTCCTCAGCTTTCTTGTACACCCATGTTGATGGGTAAATCAAGGCTGTGCACTAGCAGCATCCTGTGGCCCCTGGTGCCCAACTTTTACTCTCAGGTGACTAGAAAATCTTAGCTTTGTCATACAAATCATAATTATGCTGGGAAACCTGCATTTTACAGGATAAGATAAGATAAAGACTTTATTTAATGATTCTAACACTAAATAGCCAGAGCTAATAAATTCGTGGTCTTCTAAATAATAATAATAAAAAATAATAATTAAATTGACAATTAAACAGATAATACTAACCTGTATAAACTATATAAAAAAAGATACAACTAAATAATCTGAATACTATAGATACACTGAACAACTAAACAATATAAAAATACATGATATAGCTGTATAATCTAGTCTTAACTCATTGAATCAGTTAAATAAGAAAATGATCAACAGTCAGTTGTTAAGTGAAAAATTCATTCCACAATGCTTGTTTGAAAGATTAGTAAACTGTTCTACGCGTTGCATGTCGTGTCGGAGACGTTAGATTAATTAGATTAGAGGTAGTTTGTTCAGAGCCCTGGGTTCCCTTCAATTTTTCCACAAGCACGTCCTTGTAAATTATTGGTGGCGGTTTTACTTTGTGCCAGCTGGGGTTTCCAACCTATTTATGTTTCAAGTAGATTGTTATTTTGTTTGTAATTTCTTATTTAAGAGGAGCATCTTTAAACAAGCTACTAGGGTAGTGCTTAGAACTCAATGTTGTGGTGACTGCATATATTCAAGCAGGATGCAGTCTTTCTGAATTATAATAAAATCATTCTGTACCTCTTTCACAGCTGTTTCCTTTTCATGCATAAGTGTAAGCTTTTCATTGTCTGCAGCTTTTAGTTCTTCTTCCAGGATGCGAATTCTGGCATCCTTGCTTCGCACAACATCTAAAAACAGAATTCATATGATTTTAGTAAGACTGGAGACAGTTTGAGTTAACTTGAATTGTTGAAAAATGCATCACGCTTTTTGCCACCAACAAAATCTGAATCAGCCAATAAAAATTACATTTTTTGGCTTGGAAAGATAAGTATAAAACTTGTCACTAGCCTGGGTAAAAAAAATTCTGAACACAAGTCTGGCGAACTATACTATACAAGTAAGGTTGCTGCACATTAGAAAATATAATTTTGGTCTGTTGAGTGATATTATAACAAAGCAGCTTATGTACTTGTCTCCTTCACAGCCACTCAGGCTGAAGTCACGCAATGCTTCCCAACCCCATGACAACATTATGTAGTTAGACTACCTACCACGAGGATTTGGTCCCATTGCACCATGCCTTTTACTCCCAAGCTGGCAAAAGAAAAATAATAATACATTTTAATTTTAGGTAAATTTAGATCAATTTGATGAATTTAAAGAGAATGCAAGCCAGTTATGAGACTCTTGAACAATCAGCCCTTTCTCCCCTTGGGGTGTAAGAGATGGTGGAGTGATGAGAGCACTCGCCTCCCACCAATGTGGCCTGTGTTCAAATCCCGGCCTCAATACCATATGTGGGTTGAGATTGATGTTGGTTGTCTCTTCTCTCCCTTGCTCCAAGAGGTTTCTCTCTGGGTACTCCGCTTTTCCCCTCTCCTCAAAACCAACATTTCCAATTCGACCAGGAATCAGGTAGACAAAGAACCACTTTGTGGATGTGCTACCTCCAAATCATTATTTATTTATTAATTTATTAATTTTATTTATTTATATGACTACAATCGGCAACAAAATTAGTTGAGACTCTTCGCCCTAAAGGGGGCTTCTGACATTTTACCAACTTCAAAAGGGGAAAAGAAAGCTTTTCCTCCCCATCCCCTCCATGCAATGTTGTGCCGCTGTTCAAGCTACCTGTAGGAAACAACAAACACCCCAACTTTGAATGGAGGGGAGGGAGGAGGGGTGTAGATTCTTTTGTTCTCTGAAGTTACCATATTTGAGTACATCTCAACAATTTAGTCGCCGATTGTACAACGGTCTTATGACCAGCTTACAATAATACTTTATTGTAACTACCATAGTAAAGCGTATATGTTGTATGTACATGTGTACTAAATTATCAGAGGAAAATGAACAGAGTTCTGTATGTGTATTTAGTAAGACAATACTATCACATGCTATGGACAAAGAGGTAAAAATACTGAAAGAATGGAAATTTATAGCTCACCGTAAAAGACCACAAAAGGTAAAGAAAGCCGAGCATCCCAAACAGGAAAGTTACGAACAAGATAGCAGGGTGAACATCTGCCAGATCATGACAGAGTTGGTCAAATACCTACATTAATATAAATTTAGTAAGAACATGTGTGATGTATCAAACACAAAAAGCTTTTCATTCCAAGAAGTGGGTTTTAAAAATTGAGGTGGGTGAGACACAATGAGATTTAACATAATAACACTGATTGTCATGCAATATACATTGAGAGGCTGATATTTTTGTTCCTCAAAAAAATCAAAATAATATTAAACTGGAACTTTTCCCAACCGAAAAATAGAGTGTCTATACTGATGACAGAATTCAAGTTTTTTTACTGGATATTGACTTCTGCCTTCAATCCCTGCAATAGTGTAGCCTTTAAAATCTTTAATATAAAAACTAAGTCACAATTTTTGCCAAAATATGGGGCCAATGATTGTTCACAATATTTATGCCCAACGCTACAAAGCAAGCGTGTACATGTAGAATTGATCAAGCAAACAAACAATCATTGTCAAATACCTGGACAATAAAGTTAAACAATAATACTTACGCCATCAAGTCCTACAAGTCCAAACACATCTCTAGTACCATTTCTTATTGTGGGCCAATACAACAAAAAGGCATCGAATGATTTTTCATGGAAGGAGCGAAAAGACACCATAAATGCAGCATAAGAACTGACTTGTGATGCATTACCAACAGGCTGTGTTTCACTCAAGACAACTTTTGGTGCTTCTGATACTTCGGCACCTGAAAGAAGGAAAAAATACTCAAAACCATTAACAATGAATACTAATCATTTATTGTTATGTACCGAAGATGTAAGGAGAGGGAAAAACAAAAGAAAAAAAAGCACATCATCAAATAAAAACTGCAATGTACAGCTGTAACTCTTACTTTGGTTCACTGTCACTATTCACTTAATTGAATAAAAGTTTACATTGTCCTTTCCCTCAGTATAGATGACCTTATAAAATGTCAACAACTTATTTGGAACTGCAGACCACAAAACACCAGTTTCACAGCAGAGCAAGGTAAAATTGTGGAGAATGAGAAAACTACACTGTCATTAAGTGGTTTCAAATAAGCCCACAACAATTTTGCCTATGGCTAATATATGACACCAAGATTACGGGGTTCATACAAAAAATTGCAACCATTTTTTGCGCACTTTTTAAGTTTTTTTCAAAAACCACATATGACTTTTTAAGGTCTTTCAAGGACCAGGAATGTAAATCACAGATTTGTACACATGCAGATTCCCAGTCCAAGCTAACAGGACTTTAAGGCTTGAACTATTTGCCCCACCAGTTTCTCAACATTTTTCAGTTCACTTGTCTTAAATTGATTTTTTTTAAAATTTAGAATTTAACCCATTCGCCCCTGAACCGCCCGTAACCGCTCGTGCGGATCCAGGTCCTTTCTACCCATTGTGACGTCATCAGTTTTAACGGTCAAGGACAACTTTCTTCGCTAACTTGTGCAGAGTGAAGAGATCTTTCAAACCATACCAGAATGAGCACAATTCAGTCAAGGACACCGGAGAAACAAGCAAAAAACCACGTGACATTGACCTGAAAATCTCCATGAAAATCTTGTTCCATTACCCACCTATCTTTCCTTTCACCTAATCCTAAGATCCTAAAAGCTTTCCTAAAAACTCTTCCCACCAAAATGAAGCCTACTAAATGCCCAGCAAGAGAAAAAAAAATGAGGCAAGAAAAGCGAAAAAAGAAGGGAGGAGAGAAAGCGAAAAGTAAAAGTCAAGACTGCTGTGTCACTTTTAAACCCAAAATCTCGAAATTTTGCTTCCTGCACATGCCCAAACTTCTCAAGCTGATATTTTGAATCTGGATCAGAAGGCTGCGAAGTGTTCGACCTGTAAACCAGTTTGTGGCAAGTTTTAGCTCTTTATAGCACAAAAGTCACCAGAAAACCACTCGGCTAGCTTCAAAACGCGTTTTTCGGCAAAATCTCCAGGAGCGAATGGGTTAAAGGTGATTTATGGCTATGATTTATATTCTGTCTTGGACAACTAAAAAGCATTAAAAAACACTTTCAAGGTCACTACATTCAAAGTTGAAGAAAATTCAAGGACTTTTCAGGACCACATTCAATTTGCAAGGATTTTTCAAGACTGTGTGAACCATGGATTACCCTGATGTTACATTTTCTGCACTGGCTTACTTTCAAAAAACAAGGATAACATTCATCAGGTAATCCACACCAGCAGATAGCCTGTACCAAAATATGCCAGGAGGAGAAAATTCCTTATTTCCTGATTCTGAATCGGCTTTAAACTCCACTAGTGTAATCCAGATCTAAGGGATTGCAACTCTTGTTGTGTTTTGATTATTGATCTTTTACCTTGAGTGTAGCTTGACACAGTTATTGTAGATGTAGCTGAGGAAGTTGCAGCAATTGTTGCAGTTGGTTGTATCGTTTCCTTAGTGACTAAAACTGGGTCATCAACAGTTGTCTTGGTCCTTGAGCTTGAAACAGGTGTGGTAGACTCAGTTTTTGTGGTTTCAAGCTTTTTGATGGAAGGCGATGGTGTCCAGGTGCTTATAATACTCGTGGCTGCCACTGGAATCATAATGGAAGCTATGAAAAAATGGTTTATTTAAGGATGTTAATAAACATTGAACTGGGTGGGAACTAAAGTAATTCATAAAGATCTCTAACCCTTTTATAACAAATTTTGTATTTCAAAGTCACCATGCTGCTTTTTCATAAAAAATCCTTGACGTTAACCCATTCACCCCTGGACATTTTGCCGAAAAACATTTTTTCAAGCCAATTGAGCGGGTTTTCTGGTCACTGTTGTGCTACTTACCACAAAGCCATTTACAGGTCACACACTTCATGCAAAGTTTGCGCATGCGCAGAAAGCAAAATTTTGAGAGATTTTGGGTTTAAAAGTGACAGCGGTGTTGACTTCTTAAATTACTTTTCACTTTCCCTCCTCCCCTCCAAGGCTGTGCTCTAAGAAAAATTGAAGGCAGCCCGGTGCTCTGAACTTGTGAAATCCAGTGTGCCCAGCATATGATTTCTATGAAAAAGCAAAGATTTTCTAGTCGCCCAAGAACAACACTTAGACGCCATGGACCACAGGGCTCTACTAGAGCACAGCCCCTTGCCCTCTTTTTTTGCTTTTCTTGCCTCTTTCTTTTTTTGCTGGGCATTTAGTAGGCTTCATTTTGGTGGAAAAAGTTTTTAAGAAAGCTTTTAGGAACTTACTGTACGATTAGATAAAAGGAAAGGTAGGTGGGTAGTGGAACAATATTTTTAAGGAAATTTTCAGGGCAGTGTTACATGGTTTTTTGCCTTTTTCTTCAGTGTCCTTGACTGAATTGTGCTCATTCTGGTATGGTTTGAAAGATCTCTTAACTCAGCTCAAGTTAGTGGACAAAGTTGTCTTTGACCTTTGAAACTAATGATGTCCGAAGCAGTGGAAGGAATGTGGATACGCACAGGCCGTTACAGACGGCTCAGGGGTGAAAGGGTTAACTAACCTCATTATAGACGGGGAAAAGGGGGGAGGGATGGGAGGGCATTGTGGTTCAACTGGTAGAATATTTGGTAAAAAGAAGTTAAAAATCCAAGATGAAAGTAGTACATCAAAGGTAACAGAAGGAATACCTCCCTGGGATAAGTAGTCTTCTCAAAGTGCAATAACAACAATAATTTATGCCACAGCACTGTAAAAAGCAGTGCTTACAAACCTTGATCAACTTTAGCAGGTACTTCTTGTTCTCTGACAGGGCTCTGGGTCATACGTTCATGGTCTTTGTGTACATTGTGCTGTTTTCCATGGTCCTTGAAGTTATACTCCCGTGCCATTTGTGCCAACATTTTTCTTTCACCAGCAATCTTTTGTTTAAATTGCTCCCCTTCCAGCTGCTGTTTTCCATGGTCCTTGAAGTTATACTCCCGTGCCATTTGTGCCAACATTTTTCTTTCACCAGCAATCTTTTGTTTAAATTGCTCCCCTTCCAGCTAAAAAAAATAAATAAAATTAATCTAGACAAAAGTAAAGTGGGAATCGAAAACAAACAGTAGTTTTTTTAAAAAAAAGTTTTCCAACAATAAATGTTTGTACCTTTTGCACAAAGGAGAATGAATAAATAAATTATAGTACATTAGCATAGACTTAAATCCTTATACTCCAAGTAACAAGGTAAAGGGTTGTCAAAAAGTTTTTACATAGCAGGCTGATAACGAATAGTAGGCAGCTTTGGAACTCGCACCAAAAGCACAAGTTCTTGAGGGCTGAGGTATCTAGGGACATTTTGAAATTTAGAGTCTCAGAAATGGTGTTTGCAGGGGTATTCAAGAGATATTTTCCACCGTGGGCACCACGTTTGTTTCATCAGAATACACGCAAGACTGGGAACAAAACCGTGGAAATGTCCCAGGCATTCCATGACATTGCACGGTTTGAATGTTTCTAAACCTGTTTAAATATGCGTTCAACGTAATTCAAAACTGGCAAACGGATGCTTCACAATCTTATTTAATGGTGCTCATTTTTTGTTAGCAGTTATAATAATATTGTGGCAGTAGAAAGAGATGAAAGTAGCCAGCTAAGGATGGCTAATAGCAGTTTAAGCTGGCTACCGGCCCTTATTGACAGCCCTGACCATGTGCGTCATTTTTTCTTTTATTGTTTTTCTATTATTTTGGGGAAAGGAGAACCCATGGCTTCCCTTTTGGCCCTTGTTTCCTGTAGTTTCTGCTCTTTTGTGTCTTCTACTACATTACAAATCATTTTAACGAGCTGAAAATGCACAGCGTGCAAAGAAAGAAGTGTCCGATAGCCCGGGGCTAGTGGATTTTGTTATCGGGCTAGTGAATTCTGTTATTAACTTGCCCGACGGGGAAGTGAACTTTTTTGAGGAATTCAAATTACAGAAGAACTTTGAAATCACTCTGCTGATCAAAATGTTTTTGGGGCTAGTTGAAATGATATTTGGGCTAGTAAATGTTAGCTTCAACTTGCCCCAATCGCAAGCTGTAAAAATGACTTTCTTTGCATCCTGATGCACCTACATAACCTACCTTTGCATCACTTTTTTCTTCTTTAGTTTTCTGCTCTGTCTTTCCACTATCATCCTGTTCCTCACTGTCTTTCACCTCATGTCTATCCTCCTCACCACTTTGCCTTTTTTCATAAGACATCTTTTCATTTACCAGTTGTTGTTTTTCCATTTCCTTGAACCCCTTCTCATCCTCCTGTTTCTCCATCAAATCATCTTTCTTGTGTTCCTCCTCATGACGATTCTCATCTGCTTTCATCCGTAGCTCTGATTTCTTTGGTGTCTCCACCTTTACCTGTTGATCTTTTATATCTTTCTGACTTAGTTCTTCATCCATTTTTCTACTTTGTTCCAATTCTGCTATTTGTTTTCTTAATAATTCTATCCTTAACTGTTTAGCCTCCTCATCCTTGTGCCTTTTTTCTTCTGCCATCTTCTCATTTTCCATTTTTATTTTTTTTCTTTTTGTGAACCTCTCCTTATTCATGTTGTTTTGAGCATCCTCAACCATCGCTTGCCTGTTGTCACCAGGTTTTTGTTCTTCCGCCTGCATCTCCTGCTGTTCAGCTTTTGATACTTGCTTCTCAGATGATACTACTCTTTCCTGCTCATCTTCCTTTTCATTGTACCTCTCCTTATCAGGCGACTTTACACTTTGCTTCAAGTCTTCTTGTTGTTCTCTCTGATCACTGGGTTCCTCATCCACACGCTTTGTCTGGTAAGCAACCATTTCTGCTTGTTTAACTACTGTCTTGTGCCTCTGCTGTTGATTATTTTTCTCAGTCTTTAGTTTTTGCTCATTAGCCATTTTCCTATGCACCTCCTTTTCATCCAGCTGTTTTCTTGGTGGATCTGACCTTAACTCCCTCCCTGTTTCACTTTTGAGTTCCTGTTCATCAGTCAACTTTTCACGCTGCTTAACTTCTACCTGTTGTTTCTTCAGAGTTTTGTGCTTTTGCTTGTCATCTTTTTCCTCCTTCAGTTTCTGTGCAGTAGCAGCAAACGCAGCAGCAGCAGCCTTACGCTGCTCATCAATCTTCTCATCCTGGTCTTGAGCCATTTTTACATTCTGAGTTTCTGCTTGTTCTTTCTCTAACTTCCCTTCTTCAGAAACTAGTTCCTCTTCTTGAAAAGTTTGTTTTGTTCCTTCATCAATCTTGCTTTCCTTACCTTCCTTTTCCACAGGATCATCCCCAACTGTTTCATCAATTTCAGCATTGCTTCTTGTGTTTTCTGTCTCCTCTTTGTCATCTTTCTCTGGTATGTCAACCACATTGCCTTCATCTTCACTCTCCACTTCTGTTGTTTCATGCTCTTCAACTTTAGGCTTGCCTTTCACTCGCAAATGCTCCAATTCTTCATCTGACAACTCTTTTTGATGAGAGTACTTCTCCTTTCCATGATTATTATCATCATAATGTTCATTCTGAGTTTGTATATGTTCATTACTATCCTCAGTATTTGGTGTTGATCTTGAATGCAAAGCAGGAACAGAAGCCACATTGGGCCATATAATTTTCCCTGTATCTTCACTTGTGACTGTCTGTTCATCTGCAGTTGGTCCAGACTTTGAATCCTCTGTGACAGACTGACAAATAATAGGCATTCAGTACTGTACTGAAACACATAACATTATTGGCAGGAGTGTTTTGCAGTCATGCAGTACATTCTTGTAATAAAACAGCCACAGTGTTTAAATTACTTTTTCCCATTTTCTTGATTACCTTATTATTTAAATGCTTTGTATCAAAAAATGTAAAACCATTATTTAACACTACATGTAAACAAACAGTGCAATTTCATCTGAACAAAATTTGTTTTTATCACTTTTTATTAGCCTTATTATATTTACTACTTTATTTTTTTATTGAAATGTTCCTTTTTTTAAAATTTTATGAATATTATTTTTATCACTTACTGTTGACATAATTATTTTCTTGCATTGTTGTGTTTATTGCATTCTTATCTGTTTTATTTATGCTAAGTTGATACTTCTCTACACTTGAAAATGACCTTGGAGACGTCTAAATGTCGTGACTTTTACCACAAAATGCATTTCCAAAGGGATGGGATGTGGTTTAGGGTGGAGACCCATAGAGTAAAATATATTTTAAAAAAATTGTTAGAAGCAATGCTTTGTTTGTTTTCACAAAGGCTAATGATGGAAATAAAGCCAGATGAAAATCTGTACTATATAAAACGAGGAACTCACAAAAATGAAAGAAACAGTAAATGACCTAAACTACTCAGCTTAAAAGGTGGGTGGGACACATCCGGCAATGAAAAATGGCAACAAGCTAGGAAAACTGGTACAATACAACCAACCATGTGACTAGTCCCCTTCCCTCCCCTCCCCTCCCCTCCCCTCCCCTCCCACACACACACTAGCACCCAAACTCCCAGATGTGTGTGAGAAAAATATTTTCTGCTTCTTTTGTTCCCCAGCCAACGGAAAACAACTCTGAATAAATGCACAAGAATCTCTACTTACCGACATATACTTAGAAGAGGCAAACTGTGGCTCTTCATTGATCTTTTTGTCTTCTTCATCTCTGATAGCAACATCTGAAGTCATTTCCCTAGATGAACTATCAGACTTGTCCACATTCTCCTCCAAAGATGATGGATGATCATAATTGTCTAATTTGTTCTCTGAAGAGGTGTGCGGTGAAACATCCTCTTTGTTTTTATTCTCCTTTCTAAGATTTTTCTCTGAAATTGAGTCCACTGATGGAATATTGATACCATTATCATCTTTATTTCCTTTGTCTGAACTGTCTTCTGATGATGGGTGTTTAGACTCAATGTCTTCATTATCTTCTTTTTTATCTCCCTCTTCTTTGTTTTCACTTGAAGAGTGATAGTCCTGATGAATGTTTTTATCATTTCCTTCCTCTTTGCTGGTGTCTTCTGAGGAAGGGTCAACAGAGGAACTGTCCTCTGAATCAAAATCAGCTTCATCCTCATCCAAAAAGGGAGCTGCTAATTCTGAAAGAACTTGAGAAAAGATGCCAGGTTCTCCCTTGCTTCCCACAGCTTCTGCTGCAGGGGTCTGTAAAAACAAAGAAACAATAATTATCGTAATTTCGATACTGTGTGGTTAGTCTTTTATACAGATGATCTACAAACAGCTACAGAAGAGTTTTCTAAAGGTAGGTTGACCCCTTTTAATTAATTATTTAATTTGATTATCTATACTAAACACCCCCTTAAAGAGGAAACAAGGCCAGTGATAATGGTAACAGAAGATTTTGAATTGATTTTTTTCAATAATCTAATTAACTACACTGAACTTTGTTGTTGACTGGGACTTTTAGCTAGATTTTAAAGTCACTTTCCATACTTGCTTGTCCAAAAGGCAAGCACCAAGCAAGACATGAATTGTGTGGTTCCAGAAAATATCCATACCACCCCCAACAGAAGGGATCGGGTTTTCCAGGGGGGAGGGGGGGTCAATTTGCCTAATTTTCTAGTGGGGGTGCTCCAAAGGGAAATATTTCCAGAGGGTTCTTGTGACGCATAAGAGGGTAACAAAGAAAAAACACAAAAATTTACCACAACAATTTATTTGCGAAGGATAAGGAGTAATGAACATAGCAAAGACATTTTGTCAGTCCCTTGGAATGACCTCTCACGCGAAACGTTCCTTAAAGGTTTGGCATTTTCAAATGGATAGCTGTTCGAATGCATTTGCCAATTTGGCATTCGTTTGAACTGCTCGGGCTATCCGTTCCAAAAAAAGAATGTCATCCGTTCGAATGGCTTGAGCTACATATATCTTTTCACAGAAAATGTCATCTGTTTGAACGGCTTGTGCTATCTATTCGAACGGCTTGGGCTATCCGTTTGAAAAAAAATTGTCATCTGTTCGAACACCTTGGGCTACCCATTTGAAAAAAAATTGTTATCCGTTCAAACAGCTATGGCTATCCGTTTGAAAACAAAATTGTCGACCATTTATGCCACTGAAGCTATCTGTTCAAGAAAAATTTCACCCGAGTTTCCATCCTAAAACAATTTCGTCACTATTTCGCGTCGAACGATCTGTTATTCTTGAGTGGTCACGCTACGAAGGTTGTTTACAAACACATCATGAATACTATCACGGATCTCTGCTCCTTTGTAACCATCTTCGCTTTCATACCATCATTTAATTATCGACAGTATCGATGTACGTTTTATTCAATACTTAAGGGTTTTCTTCAACAAGTTTCCCGAAAATAATATTTTCTATCTTTTACTCTTTTGTAGTTTATGAGCCAGCGGAACAAAACTTTCATATTCCTTGCATGTCGAGAACACAAACACGCAAAAAATTCCTTTTAATTGGTTACATTCCTTCTTCACTTGACTGTTTCTCTACCACAAAGAAGTTACAAAGAGTCTTTTCTAGCACATTGCACTTTGCGTGACAATTTTCTTGCAAATGAAATTGGTGACGTGCAATTTTACTGCAAACTCAAACACCGTACGCAAATTTGGTAGAACAAAATTCAATACTCACACACTGTCTTATTGCGCGACAAGGTCGTGATCTCTTTGTTTAGAAAAGTACAGGCTAAGAACTTGTTCAACAATTTCTTCATGACTTGAGCACATAAGGAATTCACTTATCAGTTGTAGAATTCAACAGAATATAAATGAAACCCACAAAATTTGTTCTTGACTTGAGCACAAAAGGAGTTCACATAAGGAATTCGCTTATCTGTTATAGATTTTAACAGAACAAAACTACTCATTTGTTCACTTCAATAAGAGATAGCAGTAATTCCAGGGGGTGTGTGAAAATTTCGGAAATTCCTGAGGGGAGGGGGGTCATATGGCAAATCCCTTCTGTGGGGGTGGTATAGATATTTTCTGGAACCACACATTCACTGACCCTTGGCAAGCAGAGGCCCAGTCCAAAACAATGATTTACAACATAGATTAAATGATTATTGGCCAACCATTACTTACCTTGCGGCAAAAATTAAGAAAACAAAAGGAATATTTTGTCCAGATTGCTTGGATGAACTTCATCAGCTTGATGAAGTCTGAGTGATTCAGATGAAATATTCCTTACGTTTTCTTAATTTTTGCTCTGAGTTTTGGAATTTTCTACACATTACTTACCTGACTTTCCTCACTTTCTTTCTCTACATCTTGACTGTCGTCATCATTTACCTCTACTGAATCTGGTGGCACAACATTAAATTTTAAGGTTAAATGTAGAGTGAGTTTGAAGTGCAATGGTACATTGAACATTTTTTGCATATTTTCCTGTGATAGTAATTTAACAACAACTGGAGGGCTCATCTCATTTCAGAATTAAGTTAAATTTATTTTAAAGACCAGCCGTATGCATACCAGTCAGGGATGGAGGTCTTTTGGGGGTATGCAGTTTAGACTGAAGCAACTTGGTTTATGAACAGCCTGTGTTTGGTGACTGAAAATACTTGAGAGTTAGAAGGATGTTAAAGGTTGACAGTTTGTTTACCTAGCCTGTTCCAAGTTCAAGATAGAAGGGAAAGATAATTGAGAAAAGTTGCACAAAAACTGCATGAGGGCTGGCGAGAGATGGAACCTGTATAAAGTATTGTTTTCAATAAGTCATTCCAGTATACTAGCTCCTGGTATACCCTATGGCCGGTCAGTTGTGACAGTTAACTTCATCTCTTACATCACCCATTTGACTTTGCACACACAGAGTTTAACAAACATGTTGAGCATGTGAAATCCTCCTACACCACACCTTTTGATGTTTTAACATTTGACATTCTGACATCAGAGACAGTTTTTCAGGAAGTGGAAAGGATAGTGGATGGATTGATGTATTTAAAAAGATTCTTACAGGCTCTCCCTTTCTTTCTTCCCACCATTTCTCACTCATTCGCTATTTCACTGCTCGCCCACTTTTTTGCTTATCTGCACTGACCGAGAGGCTGACACAGGCTAGCCCTTAACTTATGCAGCAAATTAACAGGAACTCAACTCAAATAATTAGAAACAAATAATTAAAATAAATTAGAAAACAACAGGATTAAAAACCCCAACTGGAAGGAGGCAACTGGTTGGCTATTAACAAGCACGGCTAAGGATTCAACCTCAAGACAACCAAGAACAAATCCAGCAAGTGGCCAGAGCAGGGATTAAACCAAAGACCGCCAGATTGCAAGTCTAATACCCTGACCACTAAGTCGTGCTGCCTCCTGAAAGTTTACTTCTTAGAACATGAAACCTAAACTAATGCAATATTTTTTTAGAATTTTGTTAGTTTTAGAAAGTGAGAAAGGTGAAATATCTAGTTGCTCAGCAGCTCAGTGGCTCATCAACTCCAACTGGGGAATTACCAAGCCACTCGAGTAGACAAGTCTTGTTACTTGACTGGCCAGGTACTAAGCTATATAAAGTACTAACTTCTAAATAACTTCTAAAAAGTTGCCCTTTAACATTCGCTTAACTTGGTCTTGTTTCAATAATAAGCATACAAACGTTTGCACAAATAAACCAATGTAATTAACGAGAAATCACTCATAGGTGAATCTTTTGTTTTCTGTGTCACAAGACTCAATCCTCTCAACTCTCGTTAACTTGTTCTCAGCTCTTGATTCTTAATTTGCGCAGAAATCGAGAATTGAGTCGAGAATAGTGACTCACAACGCGCAGACTGTCAAATTACTTTTGAATGGTACTGAAGTGCTGCATGCATGCAAAAAACACTTCAATAAGACTCCAATTTGTTTCAATTCAATTTCTTTGTCTTCCTTTGACTTGGCTTTATTTACAGGCATTTCGTTTGTTGAAGTGAAGAAATGAGCAACTCCGCGGAAAAGTAAATACAAAAGTACTAACTCCAGCTAAAAGGACTAAAGTATGCACCGCTTACCACTTTAGCCTTGTAAAGAACAAGTGATCGCGAGAACAATTTTTGCGCGCAGAGTCAAATTGGTGATCATATGTATCCAGAATCTGTTGTCCAATACAGAAACTTGGGAAAAGCCTACTTCTACATTTTCCCCTTTAAAAGAAAATATGTTGAAGAAGGAAAAAATTCTTACGCGTTTTTTTGCCGCTACAAAAATTAACATCTATCTTTTTCACTGAAACACACATGTCCAGTCCATTGGCGCGCGGCTCACGACCCAGCAGCAAAAATGCATTTTTTTCTCCGAGAGGAAAAATTGCCCGAAAAAATTTTTATCATGAAAACACGGTAAGATAGCTTACCTTCGGAATTTGGTTCTTCAACTGACGATACCGGTCGAAAACTAATAAAAAGTACTACTATTATTAGCTTCAACAACTTGTCCGCCATCTTTGAAGCAGCATTTTTCCAATCTGCGCGTGCTCACCATTGTTACGCAGCTGACGTGTCGGTTTTCGAGAAATTTAAGTAGGGAGGGGTGAGCACAAATTCTAGCTCGACATGAATTCTAAGGTGAGAAAATTCGTAGGATCCAGGATCTAACGGGGTTATGGTCAGGGAATTCACACGTGGTGATTAAAGTAGAAAAGAAATTGATCAAAATAATGGTTTAAAACTGAAGGAAGATGCCTGATTAATTCCTTACCCCTTCCCACTGCGCAAAGAATTATTTATCATGATGCCATGGAAACCCAACTGGTGTTCGGTATGAATGCTGCGGCAATTCCCCCTCCCCCCCACCCCTATACATTTTACAGTTGAACTCTTTATTAACGACAACCCTCGGGTAAGACTAGAGGCTACTGGCAACTTTCACACAAGAGACAGCTCTAACATTGAACAAAAGTTTAAATAGAATATAGACATTTTCACTGTTTTTTTTTCTTTCAACTTTTGACATGGACAAGTTCAGGAAAATCCATCGACACCGCTTAAAAGAACGCCTTGAAATTAGTAAAACTGCTAAGTTTGAAAGTGATTTGTTGAAAGCTAATGAAGATGCAGCTCCTCAAAGTCGGGAAATTTTACAGTCGTTTGTATAGATTACGAGCAGTCTCTCTTTTTTATATTCTAATTCGCTACCCCGCTCAAACGAATATAAAATATTTATCATGTAACAAGCAACCTCAATTGGGGTGTGTCAACACGAGCCGTGAGCGACCCTCTTTATTATGCCCTCATCAACAAAATGGATGAAAATAATACAACAAACAGAATGAAAACTCGGAAATGTAAAAAATTACAGCAAGAAAAACAACCCTACAAAATGATCGAAACTATGCTCGCATGACAATGATTCAGTAAACATACAAAACGTGCTAAACCTTTCATATAGCAGCATGCAAAAAACTACGTCTAAGAGAAACCCCTGGTCAATGGGTATTTAATTTTGAGGGCGTAGGGACGGTCGTAAGACGCGAATGAATATAAATGAGAACAACTCAAATATATATAGCATACCGCTAATGAAGCAACAGAACAGCATACCATGTAACACCCCAAAGAAAAGGTTACATAACCCATGATAAATACATTTCTGTAGTCCGTCGCGCAAAACGCGAGACACGCAAATGGCCACGCGCGTGACTGATGGCGCGAGACGGGAGAGGCGCTTCTCGCAGCTTTGCCGCTCCCGCGCGCGTGCATTGCTCTCACTAAATCTGAAGAAAAAGAGGGACTGCTCGCAGTCTATCGTTTGTATGATGGGTTGGGGGACACAAACTTGCCCCCCACCCCATCATACAACAGTAGCCGGGGGGGTCCCGTGACCCCCCCTTGGTAGGCCTTCTTTTGAGCAACCTACAATATTCCGGCGGTAAAAACGCCATGACAATATCTTGGCCGTAAAAGCCATTGTTGAAAAGCCCACTTTTTAAAAATTTGTTTTGTTGTAAAGTATTTTCGTCAACAGCTTTTGTCCTTAGTTAATATGGGCCTTTAATTCATGCCGCGATCCCGGGGGGGTACTTTAGGAATTTCTGGGTGGGGATGTGCCGCTGGGACCCTGGAACCCTTAACCTATACCAGAGCTAGTTCAGCTGAATTTTGCTACCCTATACTAGAGTAAACTCCCCAAATCCCCCTATCCTAGAGTAGCTGTTTACCTAGTCTAGATAAAATCTTCAACCAAATGATCAGTTTCCTGAAAAATGATACCCTATTCTAGACATTCTAGACCCAAACGCTCTGATTTATATACCCTATCCTAGAGTAAACTGCTTGAAAACCATACCCTTCACAGCGGCACATACCTATATAGCCCATATATGGGAGTACCCCCCCCCGGGCCGCGATAATACGACTGAGCAATCGGCTCCTGGACTGAGCCCGCTGATACACGAGGGAGAGCGGTATAAACCATATATATAATTGGCGATCCCCGGATGGTGATCTGGTGAGTAGCCTCTGTGACCCCCGCTTTGAAAAATCCTGGCTACGCCCCTGTACAAACGTCTGTAAATTTTCGCAGATTCGCAGAGCTAAATATCATTCCATTAAAAAAATAAAAGTCTTTTACGGGTCGTTTATCAACCTGAATTTTGTGAAACAGTGAACTTTCATAATCCGTAGCTAATATTCACAAACAAATGTTTTTGATAAAATCCTTTCGCTCTTATGTAATTGAGTCATTGATCTCTAAACAAAAGCATGGCAAAGCATTTCAATACATGCGTGACATCGGTTAAAGGACTGTCACGCAACTTCTGTTGCAAAGCAATCTCAATCCCAGGTCTTGCGCTTCTGTTTCCTTGATTGGTCGCAAAGCGAAACAAGATGGCGGCAGAACGACAACCTTCGTTTTCGTTGGCGATTGAGATTTCCAGCTGCTCTTGAAAACTTTTATTTCGATTTTTCAGTTTATCCTGTCGGAACGCTTTGGAGGTATGTATGAATTAAGCAAAGCCTTTGCGAATTCACTGAACTTAAAACAACTGAGCTGTATCACCTCCAATCAATCAAAAGGCCAGAGAACGGTTACATAACTTAATGTTTACTTTACAGACAATTTCTCTCATAATTAATTTTCTTATGTCAGCTTAATTTACTTTTAGACTTACTATGAGATAAAGAGAGCTTGTGATTATCACAAAACTACTAATAAAATTAGTGATAATGGATTTGGCTTACGACGATGAAATAAGTTTACATGGGGACCACAGTGGGAATGCATAATTTTTCCAGTGGTGATTTGATGACAGTGTTGTGATGAGGTGTCATCCACATGATCCATCATTCAAAAGAAGTCTGATCTTTATATTAACAAGACGCCTAAAGTCGTTTCCGTGGGATGCGTTGGTCTATGGAAGCATAATGGCGTTTTATCTGAATTTGGAAAAATTAGGGAAACCGGAAAGATGTGTCATGTTATGAGCATCGATGAGTAGGTTACCTGTATGGGTTGGTTTAATGTGCTTATGACTGAATTTATGCATCAAAAGAAGGTTTACCCGTGTAACTTAAATTGGAATGTTAACGGAAACAAGTAATGGAGAACATGCGCATAATGCTCTCTGTTAACCTGAACAGGAACTACAATATATGTATAAAGATACGTCATATCTTGGTAGTAACTTGCCACAGGTAACTTTTTCAAAGAGAAATAAACATTGTAGTTTTGGGTTAATGGAACAAAACAAAACAAAACATCCGCTTGCTTTATCCAGGGTCAAACCCAGGGTTACAAAGTTCGATAAAGTTCCAATGTTTTAATCCAAGATGAAAGTTTAATATTTCCGGATGCTCTTGATACGGTTAAAAATTGATTGCAATGAGTTTCCAAGGTCTCAAAGTTAACATAGTTCCATTGATTATCCCTGATTCCAAGGTATAATAAGTTTACTAAGGTCCTGATCCGTGTCCCATCCAGAAGTCCAATCCATGCTGAAAGCGAGTCGTTGATCGACAACGACAATATTTTCACGATTTCACCACCAATCGTCAAGGGTACGAGTTGAAATTTACGCGATTTAACCTCCCATCATCAAAGTGTTTTCGATAAGAAAAGAAAAAAAACTGAACTCTAGCTGTGCTCGGCAAAAACTGGCGAACTCTGAATAGAAAAATCTATCGGAAATCACGGCCCGCAACAAGAATCGATGCTACTAAAACCTTTTGAAAAAGCTAGACCTAAACAAAAAAGAATCATGAAGGGAAGAAATAATTTGGCTTAGGTTGCCTTTTGTGACTTGCCATTATCCGGAAGGATTTCGCTGGTTAACAAGCCATCCTAAACCACGAGTGGGAAAACTCAAGGGCGACAAATTTGGCAAGGAACGTTCTTCAGAGGAAGCAAATCGATTAAAAATAGACGCAGATTTTGTACAATCTGATTGGTCGGCTTGGAAGAAGAGATAATCGATAAAGATTTTAGGCAATCCTATTGGCTGGCTTCGCAATTTGTTCGTACAATGAAACGTTCTGAAATGTTCTTCAGAGGAAGCAAGTCGATCAAAAATCGATAAAGGTTTTGTACAATCCCATTGGTCGACTTGGAAGAAGAAATAATCGATAAAGATTTTACGCAATCCTATTTGCTGGCTTTGCAATTTTGGGTACAATCGAACCGCATTTTTACCGTGGGAGTGCCACAGGCATCCCACAGAAAAACGGTTGAAAAATAAACTACAGCTGTTAGTTTTGGTAGTTAATTTGCTTGCATTGTTCATGTTTTTACAAATTTTTATTTCAATTTTTTCTTTCCTTTTATTACAGGAAAAACGACCTGGACATCTTATCAAATGCCCTTCTTATTGTGAACAGTGCTAAAACATGCTGGTAGAGTACAGAATAACATCTTTGTACAGAAGAATTTATTTTCATTGCCTTTGTCTGATTCATAAAATTCCTTCAAGACCATTTATGAAATCTCATGGTATCTATGGTTCAACATTGCAATCATTAGGATTTACAAAACCAGGATATAAAGTCACTGGCCACCCTTTTGTGAACTTTTGTCGTAATTACTCAACAGTCAGATCTGAAATTTTGAGGCCATCAAGAGATGATATTTATCTTAACAGAAGAATACTTTCTCTGATGACAGTTGAAGAACAACTTGGATTATTTGAAAGTGTAAAAACGTCCGCAAACATCGTGAATAGAGTTACCATGCTGTTTAATATTGCCCAGATTGCAGAAAGGGATAGAGGGCAGAAGCTGGTGTTGGAGCAGGAAAAGGAAATGACAAAACACGGAAAAAAAAGTACTTATGTGGAATTACTGGATAGTATCACACAAGACATTTCCAAGTGTCAGCCTCGTGAGCTTGCTAATGTGCTGTATGCTTTAGGGAAAATTGAGGAAAAGACTCATGAACTTGTTCAAGTTTGTGAAAAACAGATCCTTTCCCATGATATCATGGCCTTTAACAATGCTGAGATGTGTCAAATTGTCCTTGGATGTACAAA